GCTAATAGAACGGTGATGAATGTGAGGTGATTAGAACTTTGCGAAGGCTTTCTTACTATGGCAAGAATTAGGATGAATTTTTAGCAATGAAGTAATAGAATTTAAGATATTAAATTAAGATAAAGAAAGATAAAGATCCTATTAAGATAAAGAAAGAGAATGAAGTGTAAAATAATATTTTAGTATAAAATACTAAAAAATAAAAATACACAGCCAAATACTTCCTTCATTATATTGCTGTTTCTCCAAACATTCCTTTATAGCTATCACTTACTTTGAATATTGGAATTTTGCTTAAGTAAGAATATTTTACAGTTGGGATAATTCTGTAGTCTCCAAATACCCTGCTGCTACTTTTTTTGGCCTAAACTTTTAAATGTGAGTGTAAATCAAGCATGTTTAAACAGATGGTTTCTTTATGCTTTCCACTAATTTTTTTTTTCATTCCATGAGGAATTTATCACATTCCCATCTGCAGCAATTTATTCTGTATACCTGTAGCTATTTATGGTGCTTACATTTCTTAATTAAATACTGATTCAGTTGAAAATCAAATGAACTCTCTCATCTGTTCGTGTTGGGTTTTGTGCTTAAGTACATTCTTAGGGAACATATATTTGCAGTAACTCAATAACTTACACAGAGCTCAGTGGAAGTGCGTAGCGTAGGGCTTCTGTGTAAGACTGAGGCAGCCTGGCTGAGAGATAGGGGACCAGGACGCTGTAAACAGCGATGCTGCCAACGCAGGCCGGCTTGGAGACCGTGCAAATCACAGTCGTGCGGCTTCTCAGTGCGGCCGTCACACCAGGTGGATTGCTTTCCTTCCCTCTCCGTGGGACTCTTGATAATTGTTGTTTCCTGTTCAATTGCTTAGTTTTATTGGTAGGCTGATTGCCTCTCATAATACAGTTTAAGCAAAAAGGAATACATGAGATTTCTTATCACAAAGGGAAAGAGCTTTCATTTGGCCTCCAGACAAATACACTTGCAAACATGGATTGAAACAGTAACTTATAGAACTTTTATTGATTATATTTTTAACATTTTCTGACAGTATCTGTTATGCCGTCTTTTCACACTGTTCCCTTATGTACCTATTTTATCACTGGAGTGTATGAGAATAAATATCCCCAGTGACTTGAATTTGTATTTGCACCATTTCAGATCAGTTTGTACAGTAAGCTCTGTGAAAGTTAAATGTTCATATGCATTTAACAGAGGTAATAAGGAATTTTTTCTTTAATCTTTATGTGGTAAATTAATTTTTCTCTGGATATTGTAGCCATATTATGTACCATTCCTTATGTATTATTCCTTTAGTGCAGGGTATAGTGGCAGGGATATGTTCTAACTCAAACACTGAAGCTCTTTGCTTTTGTGAAGAACAATTACGGTATTAAAGAAGCCACTGCAAAATATTAGAAAAGCAATGTGGAGTTCTGGTTGTAACATGAACCAGACTTAGAATTTTGGGTGATTCTAGTCCAAAGAATAGGACTGTCATTTCCCTTGAAGTTTAAAGATTCAATATATCATAAATAAGTTAAAGGCTTTAAGTCGTGTCTTCTTACTCGACTTGTAAAATAATCCCACTTTTTTGTAATACTTTGTTGTGCCAACCAAACTTTTAAAATATTTACAGTTTATTCCCTGAATATGTATAGTTTTCAAAGTGTTCCTGGTGAATAGTTGGCTGTGACAGCTCTCTCTGCAGAGGTATGGACAGGTGTCGTCCAGAATAGAGCTGGCGCCTTGGCCGCGTCCCAGAAGGCTCTCCGTGCTGAGCCCGCTTTCCTCCCAGCTCACCGCCTGCAGCCTCCTACCTGCTCCGGTCCCATCACACCCACCTCCCGGCTGCCCAGGGGAGATGCCAAGCATGTGCCCATCACGGGGCTTTGGGGGGTGAGGGCAGCACTGTTCCATCTGCCAGAATGCTCTTCTCCGCAAATCCATAGCAGTCGGCTCCCTTGTTCCGTCCGGGCCTCATTTGAAATGCCACCGATCAGTCTGTCCCTGATGACCCTGCCTGAGTGCCCGTCTCGCCCTCAGTCCTCTTGCCCTACTTCAGGCTTCTTCATAGACCTTGGCTCTGACTGGCATGTATTGGACTCGTTCATTGCTTGCTTTCCCCACAAATATGTAAATCCCTTGACAGTAAAGGCTTTGTTCAGTACTGTGTCTCCGTTGCCTAGTAGAGATTTATGACAGCACATAGCAGATACTCAAAAATTTTTGTTGAGTTAAGCAAAAAATTATTACAGTACTTCCAGTTGAAGTTACCTAATGTGTTTTAAAACTTTTAGAGATGGTCTTTAGATATACTTTGAAGGGGGATCTGAATTATAATCCAGTTTTAGATACATGTATGGGGGGAAAAAAGCGCTAAATGATTACTAAGAATGTAAGAGGTTAGAATTGATTTGATCCAAGAATAAAGAATGTTAGCTCTCTCAGAGACAAGGCTTACAGGTCATTTAGCATACGCTGCTTATTTTAAGGATTAGAAGGCTGAGACTGGGTTACGTGCAGCTATGCCAGGGGTCTTAGTGGCAGAGATGTAACTTTGTCTATGACATACCTCATCCTTACTATCTAACCAGTATAACTGAAGACATTTCTAGAAAATTTATTTCTTCTTAATTGTACTTTTTATTTAAAATTTACTATCTCCTTTACAAAGTGTAGGCTGTAATAATATTTCCGCTGATTTCTCAACATATAGTCATTGCATGCTGCTAGGTGGATATGCTTCTTCTCTGGAAGTCTCCACTCGGGTGTCTCACAGTTAGCAGAATCAGTATTTGCAAAAGCAGATTCCTTACAGTTCCACCTAAATCTGATACTTTTTCTATGTAACTTTAAATAATTCATTCTAGTTGCTTAGTCCAGGGACTGTGGCTAGGGAGGGTAGTGTTTTTATCTCTGCCTGTCACCTATCCTGTATATCCAGAAAGCTGCCAAGTCCTTTAGCATTCCCTTCTTCCTGGTAGAACTTGATGAGCAGAGATAACCCTCTGTCAAGTGCTGGCTATTGAAGAAATTGTGTGACTCTGCTTATCATCACAGAAACCATCCTCTAAGAAACTAGCCAAACTCATCATATAATAATGCACCTTATTAGCAAATAATTCATAACTTCATTTAAAGATGGCCATTAGGGCATAGGAAAAGTGTCTGTATAGCATTTATAGAGTGCTCTGGACTCGGTGTGTACCCAGTAAAATAAGTCAGCCTTATTATAATTCCTCATTCTGAGAATGTATTTTTCCTCTCTTTATATTGTTAATTATTTTCTCAACAATAAAAAAAGGAACACTTTTCTTTTTTTTAGAGGTCTTAAATGAGCTCTTTTAAAAATCATCTATGTGTGGATGGAGATAATTGAGTAAATTAGCTGCCTTTCAAAGCAGCTTTAATTACATGAAGTACTTTTAGCCCATTGGGTTACGCCGAAGGAATGGAAAGAGTTAATATAGCTTTAAAGATGCCTGGTTCACAGCCAGTGGGTATCTGAAAGCTCTTGGAGAATTTGACAAGAACTAGATCAACCCCATTTTCATTTCCCTCTAGTTCAAATATGTAAGATAAAAAAGTCTATCGTCTATAATGTTAAATGGAAGTATTTGAATGCCTCCTAGTGGCTTTCATTAAAGAATTGTAAAATTGATGTTTATTAAAGGAATACTGTAGATAAACTGTTAAATCTTTTAAATGCAAAGTAGTAAAACCCTTTAATGATAGCATCCTAAATGGAATCAAAATATATTGTTTGCCTTACGACATTGATTAAAAATATAACTGGAAAAAAATATATTTGACAAAAATCACATTATTTTAATTGATTTTTTATTTAGTGATAGTGTCTAAAACATAGACAAATGTTGCTATTAAATTTGAATTCTTTGTATACATTTTTCCTTTATATTAGATCACTATGTGCAAGCTTTAATTTCTTTGTATAGTAAAATAGAAATAATGGTTTATAGGAAGTGTGATTCATTCCCAAATGATGTTATTTTTCACTTCTGATTTTCCAGTTGAATAAAAGGATTTTTTTAATAACCTTAAATTTGGACCATAGCAAAACTTTAAATTATTATGAAGAATACTGATTTAGTCATTGCTTTAAACCTTAAAACTTGCAGAAATTTAATTGAGAATGTAAAGAAACTTGCATGGAAAGAATTCCGATGAGGGTCAGTAGGAAGGAGAAAAAAGAAGTGATATCTCTTTGTTATGCATTAAAAAATACTTAACTGCTTGCCAAAACAAAACAATTAAAATGGCAATTACCTTTAAAATGGCATCCATGTATTTGCAGCTGTTGTGATATAAAACTTGGAAACAAAATGTTAATCTGAAATGAACAGTTTAAATATGAAATTATGATATACTTGGCTTCCTGCAGTACAGCTGTCAAGCTTGGGCAGTTCGCTGGTCAATAGTGACATTCTCTGTGTCAGTGAACAGAGTCTCTTGATACCGTGACCCGCAGCTCACACGTCACCGCAGCTCCAACTGTCGGGCATTCAGGTCCCCTGGTATTCCCGCCGCTTCCAGACTCTCCTGACTGGCTCGTGTTTCATTCTTTGGTAGTTTGCCCTAATGATATCCCTCGGGGGCTTTCAGCCTCTCTCCCTTTCCATGTTTAATCGTGTGTATGCATCTGAGTGAAGCGCACATTGTGCAGCACAAATTGTATTTCCTACAATTTCTTCATCAGTTTTGCTTTATTTATTGTCCCCATTTTGGCCCCAAACACTGTATTTTCAGTTAATTATAATTGCCAACATAAGATGCCTGAGAAGTTGATTTTGCTGTTTATGTATTTTTCAGAGAGTTTTGAAACAGGACATTCTAATTGCAGAATCGGTGAAGATAGGTGACTTAGAGCATTAAAGAAATTGTCTTATGATTATCATTAATCCTTGAGAACTTGAGTGTGCCCTTCTGCCTGCAGGGACAGCGGCTACTTACTGTTGTCACCTTTATGATTCTAGTTAACTGCCTGTCTCCACGGATCAGCTGCGCTGCTCTATCCAATGTATTGGCAGCATATATACATCCCGGTGCTCCCCCCACACCTGCTGGACTACTGCTGGTAAGCTGACCCTCAGACGCCTCCAACTGCAGGCTTGTGATCAGAAAGAATCCATTAGTCTGTGGGTTAGGTAAGCCTGGGGTGTGTGTATGTAAAATATCTAGGATGGAAATCTCTGAAATTTGACTTAGGGATTAGTAAGAGGCCTTGAAAGGTGCTTTTTTAAAGGGCAGAATGGTTCCTCCCAAAGGTAACAAAAGCGTATACTCGGCAAGGAGAGTTCTCTGGATTCTGTGTTTCCTCTGCAGTCATTTAGGTAATTAAATGCTAAATAGAAACAAATAAAATCTCAGTTGTAGTTACGAAAATGGTACGGAAGTGAGAGTATCGGGGAACTCGGCATCCTGGGTGTCAGAATTAGTGTGCAGTCTGTCAGAAAGCAAACTGTCTCTGTCAGGGCACACTTTCCTTTATCCCTCTTCCCCCAGTAGCACAGTGAGCCCCAAATACCAGCAAAGGGGCTGCCTCTCATACAGCGACTCCCTGAGTTTCTGGTTCAAATCAAAGTCTCAGCCCTAAGTCACTATGCAAAGCAGTGCTGGAAAGTGTTGGGAGTGGTTCTGAAAGGCTTCCTCCCAGTGACCCGACCCAGTCTGAATGCCAAGATGCTCCTGCAGCTTCCCTGCTTTTTCCCCTGGAAGAGTCTGTGTGCTGCCAGGGAGGCTGGGTAAGGCCGAGATGCCCAGGCAGCAGCCTGAGGGCCCTCCCGGGCTGCGGGGCACAGGGTCACACACTGCGCAGGCAGTCCGGCGTGATGCTTGAGGAGTGCGTGAGATATTTTTCCTCTAAACATGTGCGTGCACATACACACAGAGGGGGTAATTTTTACCCTAACGTGTGTGTTCATAGCACAACAAATGTTATTTCTTAAAAAACGCTCTTTTAGAATCAAAGTATTTATTTAACTTTATTTCATGAAAAGCAGATCTCTTAAGGTATTTGAAGATGAAGATGATTCGAGTTCATACATCGAGGTTAGCTCTCTTCGAAACAAGGGGCTGTGAGGGCTGCACATGTACTCGGCCACCTGTTGTCTATGCCATCGCACTGGGTGTCCCCACAGCAAGGCAGTACATCAGTATTTGTAGCGCTGTGAAGTAGGTTTCCAGTGGTCTCACACTGCCGTTCTGCCCTTGAGTGCTGGAAAGGAGAAACAGGTTGGCAGGAGACTGTAGGTACACAGGTTAATATTTTAAAGTGTCAAGCATGCAAATCTAAGGGTGAAGCTAGATCTAAAAATAGACTGTTTTGGTATTCATTTTAGAGCTCTTTTCTCTGACCGTCATACCCAGGAAATACTAGCATCCTTGAAGGCAGGAATTGCAATTCATTCACATTGACATATGCAATAGATCTCTGCACAAAGTGTTCAGTAATTAAAACTTATTTTAAATAATTTTTACAAAAGCATTTGAAAATATATGGAAATGATTTTTAAGAATATAAGAGAAGTTAGTGGTTCAGAAACTAACACTTGTAAATTATGAGATTCAGAATTATATTTTGTGATATGTAATGTTAGTGCCATTTTAATTTTTCTATTAAGATGTCCTGACCTCACAGGAGGTGGTATCCCTTCAGCTTCAATTCTCTGTAGTGGTCACATATTTAAGACATTCTGAAATACTGTTCAGGAATGACCTGTGACGTAGGCGGTTCTGCCGATTCTTTGCCGAGATACCATCCTCGTATGTTCAGACTGCCGTCAGGTCCTCCTCCTACGGTCACTCCCACTGTAAGGGAGGAAGCTGGTTTTATATTTCAGTCCCTGGAATTTCTTAGTGGCTTCTAACTTCTGAAATAGCCTCCAGGACAAGTTCTCCCTGCCTCCATGTGAGACACTTCCCTGTCCAGAGAGTGATGATCAAACAGGGAGTTATTTGAAACTTCCTGTACCTTAAGGTCACTGCGAAAAGCTCAGCTCCTATCATAGGACCTGGCAGTATATATATTTTTGCCTAGAAATATCTGACTGAGGCTTTAGTTCTCCATTGTCAGAAAATTCTATGGACAAACTACATCCTAGGGAAAATGGTTCTTCCCTTTGCATCCTTGTGAATGACCCTAGAGTCACACTGATCATAAGCAAAAGGGAGACGAATATCAGAGATTCTTCCTTCCATCTCCTGGTTTTTGAATAAAGAAAGTTTTTTATTCCACTTCAAAAATAGCACCAGGAAGGTTTGATAGTGGTCGATGCATAATTGCCAAGTCTTCATGGTGACCGGAACTTTCTGAATCCTGAGGGAATCCTAGCTTCTGAGAGTGTTTTTGTTCTCCCATCTGGCATCTCTGTTGTGGTGTGGCCCGTGGAGAGCCAGGACGCCACCTTGTGACCGTGGGTGAATATAGCACCTTGGTCTACTGATGAAGCCTTGCCCACTTGCTCACCCGTTCATCCATGAACCCACCACTTACACATCAGACATTCAGTGAGCACCTGTTTCCCACCCCAAGAGTAGTGATGTGCTGAGTAAGACTTAGTTTCTGCCCCCACAGGATCCACAGGTAGGAAGAAATTCATACATGTGCACACATGTGCGCACACATTGAATGTGCCCATGCGTGCACACGGGGAGCACGAGAGCAGTACTGTGGTGCTCTGAGGGTTACATCGGAGGCGCGGAGAGAAGCATGGATGGGACACGTAAGAGGACGTGGCCCACACTGCCTGGCAGGATGACACCACCTGCCTCCCCCTAGTCTGTCATGTAGGGAGAAATGGGAGCTTCTACTTAATGGGTATAAAGTTTCAGCTACATAAGGTATTAAGTTCTAGAGATATTCATACAACACTGTGCTTACCATTAACAATACTCTCCTGTAGACCGAAATATTTGTTAAGAGGGCAGATCTCATGTTAGGTGCTTTTACAGAAAAGGTCAGAGAGAGAGAGAAAACCTCAGAGCAGCAGGTCTGGTCTTGCTGCACACTCTGAGCCTTTCTGCCTGGGAGGCAGTGGACTCCAGTATCATAGAATTATAGTCTTTCATTATTCGGTCAAGAATTGTTGAGTCACTTTTTATTTAGGCTATATATCTTCTTTCTATGAAAGGAGATTTAGCTTCTAAGAGAAGAGTTTTAAAAAAACACAGAATTATGTTGTCTGGACTACCATAAGTAGTCCCATGGGTTATCTCTAAGAAAACCTAAAGAAGAAGAGAGAAAGCTATTACATAGAAATTATTTTGAGAAAAGGTTAAATGCCACCCAAGGAAGATAGCCATATTAGAACCTTCCACACCCCGTCTTTGCAAAGTGACTTCACTGACAGAAGGATCTGGAACAGCTTTGCATATGGATGAGAAAACATCTCTGTTGCCAGGAATCTCTTCCTGATTTATTAATGCCATAATCTAATTAGGAGATTTCAGCTAGGTTGCAAAATTACTTTCCATGAGATTTGGCTGGTTTAATATTAGGATGTACACAATCCAGTTTTCATGAGAAAGAAATAACTATTCAATTAAATCTATATTCTACAAAACATCATAATTTTTTAAGGAAATTATGATCTAGATTAATAATGTTTGCAGTTCCAACATCTGTATATCTTGAATTTTTTTAGAAATTAGTGAGATAAAAACATGTAGAGACACCTGGTGACCTCATATAAAAAGTTTCAAGTTACTTTATTATTAAGTTCTACATTGGTCTAGAATTTTTATTCTAGTTTAACAATTTCTATAAAATTATTATTTATATTTCAAGAGACTACTAGCTTTCATGAAGTTTTAAAAGTGTTATCATAGATGTATTTCAAGGGACCTCAATATGTTAGTTACTACTTTTGACTCCGATTTTTGAAATTGGGTCCATTTGGTGTTTCTCCACATCTATAAAATGAGTGTGATAGTAATTATTTTAGGAAGGCTTAAATATCTTGATTAGCAGTCATTCTATTAAATTAATGTGCTTTGATATTTGAGATATCATGGACTTTATATATTACAAATCTTCCAGGCAGGATAACCTAACCTGAGATGAAGTTTGCACAGTAATTAATAATTTTATACTATTTTGGTTGTGGGGATGGCTTGACATATTTAAAATTTTGGGAGTTGCCTATCCTGTTTTGTGAAAGTTACTGGGAGCCCAGAATGGTTAGTTACATATATTTCATGTCTTCTGCGGAGTCCCAGAAGTAACTCTAGAGATGAGAACTCAGACTCAGGAAGTAACCGGCTTTTCCGTATCGAAGCAAAGGTGGAGCAGACCACCTTCATTCCTCCTGTTCCCCTTTGAAGGCAGAAGAGCTGTGAGGCCTTAAGGATATCCAGGCCTATAAATAGTTCTCAGTGTCAGTCAAACGAAGTATCCAGAATGTGAGATCAAGTCCAGATGGTCTGCTGCATAAAAAATTATGAAAAAGGAGGGAACAAAGCAACAAAAAGCAAAGACAGCTGGAATCAGACTCTAGTACAGTAAGAAGTGACGAACAGGATAATGAGCAATATAAGAAGTTCTGTTATTTCTCATGAATTCTGGGTGTATAAGTTAGTGGTCAGCCATGTTCAGATAAATTTGGAACTGTTTGAGGTCACTTTGAAGACCATGGTCCTGCCTGTCTATGTGCCTGTTTCATCTATTACTGGTTTTCAGTGGTAAAGTGGACATGTAGGAGTTTGGACAGTCTGTTTAATGACAGTGATATTTGGAAAGATACACAAATCCTTTGAAAAAAGATGATTATCTGTTTTTATTAAGAGAACATGTTTGCATTAAATATAATACAAAGATGTCTATGAATGTCAAATGTTTTATTTTTAAATAGCTATTTATCTGCATATCTTCTGTCATCTTTGTACATATCTGTCCACTCTCATGTTTCTTATTTTTAAATGATATTTTAATTTTGAAATGTCAGGTTGAATAATTTCCTTCTTGTATTTCATGAGAAATATTTTTGAAATAACTACAAAGTGTGACTTTATAAGCAGTTGACCCTTGAACAACATGGGGGTCAGAGATGCCAACCCCTTTCTGTGCACTTGAAATCCACGTATGACTTTTCGCTCCCTAAAAATTTAATTACTAATAGCCTGCTGTTGACAAGAAGCCCTATAACAAAAACAGTAGATTAACACATTTTGTGTATGTGATGTGTATTATATACTGTATTTTTACACTAGAGTAAGGTAGAGAAAAGAAACTTTTTTAAAGTTGGCACATCTCCAAAAAATTTGCCAATACATTTATTGAAAAAGAGCCACATAAAAGTGGACCCACACAGTTCAGACCCATGTTTGTTGAAGAGTTAACTGTATTGCAAAAATTACTTAATGTCTGTATTCTCTGTTGGAGTAGATGATACACAAGGGAATATATTCTGTCTGTACTGGTTATTATTATTGTACCATAGCCTGTAGCTCAGGGCCTAGCACCTGGTAAATCCAGGTACTGTGTTGAATTAATTCAGTGTCATGCTTAAACTTACTGAATATTTTAAAGTTTATTACAATTTTATTAATAAAAGTGAAAGTTTGATAAATATGAATGTGTAAAATTTAAGTAAGAGGTATGGTTCATGAGCAGAATAAGCAGTAGAGGAGGAACTTTGCTTTGCACCCAGTTCCCAAAAAGGGCCTGGTACGTCACAGGCTTCAGTAAGTATTTGGTGACTGACTCAAAAACTTAAGGTTACATAGTAGGTGTGAACAGTGATGATATATTAGGAAAGTCATAGACATAAGAATCTGAACAAAAAATGGGGTGTAAAAGAAATGTTAATAAATCTAACGATTATCTAGGGTATATTTGGCATGAAATATATGGAAAAGATTCAACTCAGACTACTGTGGCCATTCTTCAACAAATGATTTTTGGATATTGCAAATCTTGTTTTAATTAGGTATGATTTTGTGAGTTTTATATAAATCAGCCTTAATTTGAATATATTAATGGCCTATCAGATTAAATTTGAGGTATATATATTTAATAATTTTAAATATCTATAATGTGCTATGTTATAACTGCACATTTAATAAATTAATTTTTTAAGCATTCTGAATTATTTAGTATTGTTTAAGTTTTAATGAACTCTATGAATATATGCATATATATTTTTAATTTAGTGCCCCAATGCCATACCTGATTGGAATACACTCCAGCCTTCTAGAGGTGAGTATCTTCCACACATGAGATAGTGATAAATTGATATATAAAATAATGGTTAAAAGTTATATTTTAAAAGGGTATCCATTAAATTGCACAGAGCAGTGAATAGTTTCATATTTAGAGTATATTTACATGATCATTTTCAAAAAGGTGTGATTTAATTAACACAAAGTGACCATCTTCAATGGCATCAAACCCACGAAAATAGATTCTGTTTGGTCAAAGTCATATGGTAAGTTTTAAATCCTAAAAAGTTTAGTCCTTGATGAACCATCTTCTTTATGGTACTTGGGGTCATTTTGTATTCATTTCTTTTTTAACCTGTATTTTGAAAGTTACAACTTATATAATCATGAATCATAACGGGGAAATGTTTTTATTTTGCAAACTTCACTATGATCCAGTTTATCAGTGTGCTTTTTCAAGATGTGGTTTTAATACACTAATCATGAAATTTTAAATTAGAACATAGCTCTTAAAAAATATTTAAATTTCAGTCCTGTTAGGGATTTAAAATATAGTTTAACTTTTTTATACTGTCATCACTTCATTCCAAAGTGACTTTTGCTACTTATCATCACAATAGTGAAAGACCCTGAACGTGAAACTTTGAACTTGAAATCAGTGAGATTTCCAGAGGACTTCTTACAAGAAGATTAACTTCTAAAAAAAAAAAAAAAGCAAAAGACTTGGATCAAAACAACACCGTTGAGCCAGTTGCATGGCATTATTATGCCAGCTGACTTCAGTTTTATTCAAATAAATTTCTTTTTTGACTGGTTGTACATATTGTACTTTAAGCCGGTTTCCAGTGAGCACCCACATGAGTTAGATTCAGCTTTCCCATTGCTGTTAGGTAATTGTTTAATTACCACTGCGTGCCACCAGTCCTCACCTCACTGATGCAGGGGGAGCTGTTGTGTGACAGCTCCTGGGAACTGTGTCTGAGGGCCACACTCCCCTAGGAGTCCTGAATTACGGAACTCTGCGTTTGCTCTGGTGCTTGTCATTTTTTTTCCTTTTCGCAAAAATGCTACGGCAACATTTTTTATTCATTTAACTATTCATAAAGAATACATTGTAATGAATTTCTCAGTAGGTTTAATTTGTTTTTAACTTTGAAATCAGAGTTGGATAACATTATGACTCTATATATGTTACTTTTTAGGAAAGTTGTTCTTACGTGCCAAGGTACTTGCAGTGAGAGGTCAACCTGTATAAAGTCAAACATGAATGAATAGGTATTTAGTCTGTTACTAGATAGTGGAATATATGACTGACATTTTGTTCATTAGTAGTTTGACTTTATAAAAGATCTAACCAGGGTTGGTTGGTATGGTTTCAAAAGAGTCATCAAATTTGACTGTGACATGAGTGCACATATCTCTTCTTATTTAATGCAGCTTATAGAATATGGAATTTTTATGAAATATTTATTCATGCAGATGAAAAGTATTTAAAGTTGTTGATTATACCTGTTGGTGTTGTTTCGTGCATAATGATTCTTTATCAAGTTTTAAAACAATGATGCCACTTTTCCAAAGCATTGTAGAAAGAGGTACATGTTTTAAATTACTCAGTTACATGTATCCCATAATTATTGGACACAGAGAAAATCAGTACTGTTTTTCAGGAGCAAATTTAAGACTTATTTATTCCTTAAAGTACTGTCTTAGAGAAACAGTCCATTCTAACTTTAGTCTGGCTCTCGTTAAATGAGATGTTCAGGGCTGTGGTTAGACTGGCTGAATTCGCTGCATCCTTTTTGCTCAGGACCGAACTGTGTTAACTGTATCACAGTCAGCCTCATTTGGTTCAGCAGTGGATGGGGAGTGTAACAGGAACTTCAGGAATGTCTTTAAACCAGGTTGGGTACCATGTAGTAACTTTCTCCTTAATCTGTTACAAGATGATACATATGCTGTAATTCCATTCTTGTGTGTCATTATTAAGGAGATTTTTTCACCAAAATTTCCATCTTTATGCTTTTTAAGTTTTATGTAAATGGTACTATAATTAAAATGTGGATATATGTGTTTAAATATTTTTATATGTGAGACTGAACTGATTGATTGTTTTTACATTTTGTTAGGCTACAATTACAACTAACTTTGTTAAGGAAAAATCAAATATTATTCTCTCTCTTGGTCAATACAGTTTCAATACACTTTGTCAGTTTTTCAAAGACTTCTACACATAATTGTTCAAAGACATGAAATTTATGGTTTTTAATTATTTTTATGTAATCTCAGGTAAAAGATGGCTAGAAATCTCTTTTTTAATGTAAATTTGCTCCTAATATAAAGAATAAGGATATTTTATTCTCTCTGAAAACTAGACTTTGGGGATGAACTCAAAGCAGACTATGGCTTTTAAGTGATTAAGAATAAATTAGCAGAGGCTACAAATGTGAAGATTACATTATTCATTTTAATGTAGAAAGGATTTTTATAAAGCGTTGACCCAGTTTCATAAGGTTCCGTGACTGCTGCCACCCTGTCATTTCCGAGCATCGTGCACCCTGTAGTCTCATGGCATGGAAGGGCTGTACCCGGAGCGTGTGACTTAACGATTTGGACACCTGAATGTTGTTCGTAGTAAGAGTTTCAGCCTATATCCTATTTTCGTCTTTGTGAAGAAAAAGGCAAATTCTTGTATCACATTTTCTTACTCTTTTCCCACTCTTTTCCCATCCAAGCAAGTTTATGAATTTTATGGGATATGAAAGTATGAGACAGAGAAATTTGTCCCATTTTACATGTCATAGGGCTTTCCACTCCTTTTTAGAAATAAAAATAGCTAAAGCTTGATTTGGAGGGAAAACATTGATAAAATACTGACATTTAAACCAAATTTTTCAAAAAGAATTTTAATTACATACTATTTTTCCCTTTTTGTTTATGTAGAATGTTCTCAGGGTCCCAGTGTATTGTTGAAATGAATAAATACATTCTCCATTCTTATCGAGTGGCCAATTAAAATAATTCTCAGCTAGTATCAGACTATTTTAAAATAAGAGCAACTTTGATAAAAGTATACATTCCATATTAATGCTAATTTCCTTTATTCAGAGTTTAGTGTTAATGTCATCACAGACCATTTTAGGGTCACACAGTCATTATTCTAGGCTATTTAGATGAGCTTGTTTCATCCTTTAAAAAATAGATCAGGTTTCTGGATTATCTTTATAGTTACTGTTAAAAGGGCAGTTCAGAACTGAAGATGGAAATAAAAATTAGTGCATACTTTAAGTATGCATACAAATGAATACTTCCACACAAATACTTTTAATGTAAAGATATTTTGCTTATAAAATAGGTTATTTTTGTACTTATAGCACAGTTAATTTATATATAACCACACATGTATGTAAGCCATTTTTACATGTATACACATGGAAAAGAAAGATGAGTTGTAAATGTTTCGGCAATAGTAGCACTATTACAAATGATTATCTGTTAATTTCTTTGAAATAGCCATCTTAGTCTTAACTTTAGAATAATGATAATACCCTTTACAAGACAGATTTTTAGAATCACATGTGCCCTTGATAATTCATATTCCACATATTCATTATGGCTTTCTTAACACACAAAAAAAATCCCTACTAGAGAGGGAGAATTAGTACAATTAGCATTCTCCTTAATTTGATTTGAGATTCTAAATGGATCAGAAATTTGTCTTAAAACAAAAAATTGTTTTGGTCAATTTAAAATTTAAGGTATTTAAATAATAATTTTCAAAAATGGTTATCATTCCAGAATGTCACTTTTAAAAATTGTACGCAGAAATTTATTTACTTATTACTAGTTGACCTGTACAGTTATGGAACTCTGAGTTGTCGGATGTGTTTCATGAAGGAGCACCATATTTATTAGCATTAAAGAACAATACTATTTGCTGTCATTAAGGTAGATTTGAAGTATATGATTTATTTAAGTATACATATTAGTTTAAATAGGAAGAATAAACCATAAATATTTCCTTTCTTTTAGGGTGAATTTTGATGAAATGCTCATCAACTATTGTTTGTCCACATATTGTGGTAATCTGACCATTCAACTAAGCTCACATGAGTCAAACAGCCAGTCACATAGGCCATTAAATTTGATCTTTCATGTTGAAATTCATGAGATAAATGTTGCTAACAATAAGTTCCATATTACTGCCCTCTGTCATTTTTTCTTATTCAACTTTCAGTCCTCATTATCAACTCAAACCTAATTAATATGGAAATATAGAGAAAATATTAATTAATTTAAAATTTAGTTCCTACTGTAGTTAACAATCGTTGGTTTATGTTAGCCCTGCAATATGATTTATGCTAAAAATAGGTATGGTACTGGCCACAAGTTGCTGTATCATAGGATAGCAATTCAATTAATAAAATTGAAAGGATACAAGTTCAGTTTAATGAAGCTGTGCTTATTTTGTGAGGCTTTGTTGTAATGTCTCTTTAGTAGTTAAATTATATTCACTGTCTCCAAACGAATTCAGTATGTCTAGATGAACATTCTATTGTAAGCATTTTTTACCCAATCTTTTTGAACAGTTATGGACAGTCTCATAAGGCAGAGTTTTTATATAATGTAAGATTTTCTTTTTTTCTTATACCAAAGCTAATGCATTAAGATAATTTTCTCTACATTTCTAAGCTCATTATAGTTTTGGAAGGAAAATAATACTAAGATGTTTATTTATAATTGTGTTTTTTAAACAGAGAGTGAAAAATAAATCATTGGAGGATGTGGTTATGTTAAATGTTGACACAAACACTTTAGAGTCACCATTTAATGACTTGAACAACCTACCAAGTGATGTGGTAAGTCTGAAGGGTATTTTGTGATGAACATCTGTGTGTTTTCTCCTGGACCCTTGAATCTCCAAAAGTTATTTTTCCACCTTTTTTTTATGTGAAATTAAAGAGTTGAGTTTGTGCCTGGGGTGTGAGAGGAGTCAGTGTAGACTCTGTATTTAGTATTTTTACCTTTTGGCAGTTGAGGGGATGTTGAATGGAGCATCAGTATTCCTCGCTGTAAAAGGAGGATCATAATTAAAAAGCTAGATGCATTCATCAGGCCGAGTTTCTTTAACTACAAGTCTCTTCATCTCATCTGAATCGTTATATTACAAAGCAGGCATTTCTGTCTGCCTAGTGGCATGTCTTGCAAAAGAATGAGAGAGTTTTTGAAGGTAAGAAGAAGAAGGGGGCCAATTACCGGCTTTTGCTTCCCCGCCACCTGCCAGCACTTTTCCTTTTAATTAATGATCTGATGGCACTGGTCAATATAATAAGAAATGCTTGTACAGTTGGGGTCAGAAAATTCTGGCTTTGATCTCCCTCAACTTTCTGAAACATTTATTTGTTTTCTCTAAATTATTTCACTTTTATTTTAATCTTTTCTGTCCTGCTGAGGACTGTTTGTCATTCGCTTTGGCAGAACGAAGACTGCTTACTTAGAATTCTATTTGTAAATTAAACTGCAAACCCAGTTTGTCATAAAAGACATCTGATCCTTTTGAAATGACGAAAACTGTCTTTGTCTGTAAAGGCTGATAAATTAAGTGCCAGTTCTCTTCTGGTCTTTGATCTTCCAGAAGGTTTGTGTGTATGTGTGCATGTGTGTCTGCAGCTTATGATAGGATATATTCTGTACTTCATGTTAAATAGTCTACAGAATTGCATATTTTGGCCTCGTTTTCATTCGAACAGGGCAAGAATTCAAACTAGTACTGTTGCTGTAGATATTTTAATAACTACTTAAAAATACTTATATGACATAGTTCTAAGATAAAATAATTCCCCTTTAAAAAAATAGCTTTTCTCAAGGATATTAAAATTTGATAATAAAATAACCTCAAGAATATATTTTTCTGTAATCTTAGAGTACTTCGAAATCATTATTAGGGAGTTTAAAAAATGAATTTAAAAAGCCAAAGCAGTTCTACTAGGCTTGATTGTTTTTGTGGCTAGTGTTGGGAAAATATGATCTTAAAGTCAAAATCAGATCATTAATCCCCATTAATAATCTACGTGCCTGCTGACCGTGAAGCGAATCGATCGGACTCCTTCACCTCACTGTAGTGAGGTCGATGCCGGTACGGACAGATCCGGATCCAGGCCGGCGAAGAGTGAGCTACGCCTTTTTGGCCCATCGCATCTGGGTTGCCTCGTCATAAAGATTTCGCAGAAGTTGCTAGTTGTTCATCAGAAATCCATCAAGTATTCTTCGTTGGATAGAGAAATGATTATGAAAGTAAAGTCCCGACTTGTAAGAATGTTTTCCTTATATGCACATACATCCTACTGTTGATGCCCTAAGGAGAAAGGATTATTTATTTAAAAAAATAAAAAAGGAAGAGAGAAAAAAGGAGAAAAAAATCAGCTTTTTTAGTGTCATTAAAATTTTTGTATTAAGCTTTAATGATGGCTGATTCCTTGAGAAAAACAATCTTTAATAATTTCTTTTGATGGGTGATTTTTTAAAAATTAAGTACAACTTTCCTAGTAGATTTAGTTTGATAGTAAATCACTTATTTGAACATATAAAGAGGTTGAACAACATTCACAAAGCATAATAGCCTAAATATATAAAATGATAGGAGGGACCGTCTCATTGTTTGTTTACAGATAACAGTTACCTAAACATAACTGAAATTGAAAAAAAAAATCATAAAAAGGAACGCTGCAGAATGGTGTAAGTGTAACTATATGTATGTTTGAAATTAAGGACCACAGACATATGGACACATTTGAAGAAAGAATAAATCAAAATGGCTCTGAAGTGAAACTAGGGCAGTTTACTGAAGCTAGGAGATTCTTAAAGTTATTGTCAGTTTGTGAAAGTAGTTTATGTGGTTATTTAATCCATCTCTAATAAATTTAGCTTTTTCATCAGTTTTCCAAAAGCTGCCTCTTATAGTTCTGAGGAAATGTGGTGAAGTGTCACATTATACTTTCTGTAATTGTAAATGTTTTGAATGAGACACATCAAATCACAAATGATCTTACTGAGTTTTTTGTGATTTGAATAAAATATACTTGAAACTTGAAATATATTACTATTGCTATTGTTTGATTATTTAATAAATTAACTGATATTTAAATGGGGGCCTTTTAACATTCACCAAAGCATTTAAATTATACTTACAGGCTAGTTGACTTTCTATGCATATGTACTCTATTATTGTGTCAGCTTGACCAGTGGTCTAGGCTGTTCAAAGGTCAGTGGTCACAGTTGTCCTGAATTACCATTTCTTTTTTCCTGTGGACCCTCTGCTGTGTTTCATGCTGTAATCTTCTTAATGGCTTCATTCCAATATTCACACATAATATTTTAGATTTATTGACTGTTAGAAATACTACCATGCCAGTAGCAGTTCCGCTACTCTGAAGGTATTTAAAATTGGAAAAATAAATCAGGGCAAAGCTTTCAGGAGCCCTTTGTTTTCCTTAAGAGAGAGGAAAAAACCTTCTTCCTGTCTTCTGACAAGAACACTTGTTTTTCGATTTCATCATTTCACTAAAGATTTGGATCATTAAAAGAAAAAAACATTTTATTGGGAGTGATTTTAATGATACTGATCATTACATGGAATAACTTTTAAAAGCAGTATATCCCATTAAAATGTACTTTTGTAGGCTTTGTCTATGCATACGTTATTTTATTTTTTAGTGACTATGCCAAATATTGATACTTTTAAACATATGTAACTTGAGTGTTTTGAAATAAAAAAGTAAATTTAAGGTCCAGTTAACAGTATCAATTACTGTTAGTGTTATTAATGTATGTTGCTAAGTATCGAAATAAAGAACCAGTTGAATCAAATATAGCATTTGAAATCTAAAATGAGTTCATTTTATTTAATAAAATGCACTATTGAGATGCCCCCATTCCAAACATACAAATTTAGTTTCAACTACATGATAATTTTAAATGCTATATTTTTGAGGTATTATTGCTCATTTTAATTTCTACCATCATTAACATTTAAAATAGTGATTTGGAGAATTGTTATTATTTCAAAAGTAGGAAAATCCACTTGGGAAATTAAACTAATTAGAATTATAATTGGATTTAGGAAATTATCTGTGTGAATATTAAAACAATTATAAACTATCTCTTAGATATGAAAATATGTTAGAACTGACATCTGAATAGGTTACACGCATTACGTATTCATTGCTAGGAAAATAAAGTTTGGCCTATATTACTTAACTGTCTTTAAATAATTGTAACTTATTAGATTGTAAAAAAATAATATACACTGAGAAGTCAATATATATGTATCCGTATTTTAGATAAGATGAAGGCACAGAGGTCTATTGTTAATGTTGTTTCTAAGCTTTAGTTCATGTAGGTTGATCCTCAGACTTATGTCCCAAACACTAGACTGTGGTCCCTCTCATATAAAGGTGATGACACTGTGTGATGAGCAACTCTTTTAGAAAATTTAATGCAGAAATGTACTTTCCATTTCATTTTTGTTAAGGAAATGCCAGCATGACTTACTTGATTTAAATTAGGATTGTCAGTACTGTTCAAAAACTCATTTTCATCTTATATATAATACCATTAGGAAATGATTTTCTATTTTCTATTGTGAGGGTGTGTAGAATATATAGTACACTTAAGAGTTATACAATTCACTGTATACCACAGCATATTATAGGATAGCTACATTTAGTATAATGAATATTGAATTACTAAAATATTGAAAAGACCTTATAAAAAGGAGTTATCTAAAATACTGTAGAAGTTATCACATGGAGGAATAGGCTTATGGTTTTGTGATAGATAAGGAAAGACGTAAATTGCTCTGAATCACCAAAAATCAAAAAACCCTAAAGAAAAAGTAGAGAAAAGCTCCAAAACTCTGACTTTAAATAAAAATTATAAATATCTACTTTCGAGTGAGTTAATTTGGTAATAAGTTTGGGAAAGTATTATTGGCTTTTTCAGAGAATTTTTTGAACCAGCTTTTTAAAAAAAATTAAAATATGTTGAACAAATTTAACTTTCAAAACCATGCAGATAGTCAATGGATATGTTTAATTCACTGTATATTTTCTCTAACATGAAGGTTTAATATGTCAAATTGTCATAATATATGTTTTAAAGAAAAAAGAAAGCCCCAGAGAATTTTATATTAGTTCCAGGTTTGCCACAGAGTTGCTCTGATCCTTGCTGTGTCTGACAGTGCGCCAAGTGCCCCCTCCCCAGGCCCCCAGCACATTTCTGGAGCGGCCGGTTAGAAAGCTAACAGCTTCATTCAGGGTTCCCGAGTCATTTAGAGAATGTTTTTCAGTTTAACAGAGTGGACTTGAGGAGACAGATGCTGCCTCTGGAGCAATGCCTTCTCTGCTCTCCAGCTGCCAGACTTTAGGCATCTGGGTGGTGCCCACCGCCCCTCCCAGCCTTGGTGTGCGCTTGTGAATAGGGCGTCAAGTTAAATGATTGTCCGGGGGAAATATAGCTGCCTTTCTTTTATCTTTTGTCATAGAAGTCGCTCTGAATGTCCTTGTTTAGAGTTACTTCCTAGCACATTGTATAAGGGTATTTTCATCTTACTTTCAGAGTAATGGAAGGCATGTTTAATATATACCTTTTTGGCTGTGAGGGCAACGTTTTATTTCCTTTCTCTGGAAAAAATAGTAATCATTGTCCTTCTGTATACAACTTTGGGTGTCTGGAAACTCATTCTTTTAGTTTTCAGAGATGTGATTAGTTATAAAAAGTTTTTTGTTTATAACTAAACTCTTACAGGTTTTGCTATTTTTCCTATTTTCTTGGTGTTAATTTTTTAAATATAAACATTAAA